GATTTGAAAGCTGCCTTTACCCAACCTAAGCCCAAAGGAGTACTGCCTGACTCTGCTGGCACTGAATGCAGGTGCCACAAGACAGAGCAGCCCTTGTTGCCACCTGTCTGGAGCCTCCAAAAACTGAATCTCACCCCGTGACCCAAACAGTATCCTTTAAACAGGCCGTTGCTTGTAATCTTAAAACTGCCATGCTGTCTGAAGGCACACAACTTGCTGTATACATGGAAGAAAAATTCCAGCGTATACTGTACTATGTAACACTTCATACCATAGATGCTCAAGGGAGCAAAGTCAGCTGAGCTCCTGCACTTCCTAAATGCAAGTGGTTGCTCTGTCAATCTTGACTGTTGCCCAAAAGGAAGATGTTTCTGTAGAACTTTTTAAGAAAGTAAAGGGATAGCAATTCCCAGTAAGGCTGGTATAGCTATAAAACTTGATGGATCCTGTTCCCATCAAGAACCTCCAGAGCTGATCCCTATTTCCTAAGCTACCCTGTCCACCTGTTGAAGCAAATCTTTACCTCTCTCTGTCTCAGTGTCCCTTACATCACAGACACCATGATACTTCTGCTGCCTGTGACCACAAAGCCACTGGAGTGAGAAGAGCTGGTCAGCCACCCAGCAATTACCTTCCACAGACATAGTTTGTGATTTCTGGAAACTGCAAAGCAAGAACATGGAGTCCACCTGGGTACTGCTGCCAAACTAACCATTTTCCTTTTCCTTGTCTGAGTTTCCTTCCCCTGCACTGTCACAGCGGGTAAGCAGACATGCATCAATGGTCTGTGACTGCTTTATATCCGACTAATGATTTTGGGCGCCACAGCATCCGAGTGCTTGCTGCTCAGTGCTCACACTGCAGCTAACCTCCATATTTTAAGTTTAGAAGGGAAACGAGGCATAAGAAAAAACAGGTTTACAACGGGAGACAGTGTCATTTTTAAAAATCCTCTTTAAAATTCAAAACCCAACGGAAAGGATTTTCTTTTTCGCTTTCTGAAATGATTTCCCTTGGGGTTGAAAGAAAAGCCCCAGTCCTGCTGTGGCATCTGTAAAGAGAGGCCACTGTGACTGTTTAGTCTCCCTGAAGCCGGTGAGACTTCCTAAAGAGCACCGGGGTCCTCACAGCCCATCTGGCAGCAGGATGTCCAAAGCCAAATGTTTTGGAAAGCTTTGAGCACATGGGAAAAAAAAAGAATTATAATAGAAATGATTTAGCAGCCTTAAATATAAAATTAAATCGGTCCAGCCTCACATTGCAATGTGCTACCCTGGCTGTATGAGTGTTTTCTTCATAAACACCTTTTGCCTGATAATATCGAAGTGTGCAGAGAGAGGGTTTTGGCCAGGTGCTTGATTATGTTTTTAAAAGCCTTGTCCTGTTAAGAAGAAAAATGCGTTTTTGAGTTTGACCATTTGCCACAAGTGAAGTGTAAAGAAAGGGGGGGAAACGAGAATGTGGGGCAAGATGTACAAACGTATTTGCATGCTTTTAGAGCTTACCCGTAAGTGCTTAGAGCTTCATTTCCTCATTGTTCCCAGTATAACTGGTTGGTGGAACACAGCTTTAAATTTATTAATGCCCGCACAGAATAAAATTAAACTTGTTCATGATATACCCACTTGCTGGGTTTTTTATTATTATTTTTCTTTCCCACTGATGTGATGGTCCCTTTGTCAAATTCTGAAGTCTTTATCAAGCAACTATAATGCCTGGTGGGCAGCACTAAGGTCCAAAATGCTGTGTTCACATCCAACTGGGATCTCCAGGCAAGGTTTGAGAGGAGAGATCCAGTGTGGAGTATCTGTTAGCCACAAGAGGAAGGTCAGGGAATGTGTGGGTCCCCTACTGAATGGGGGAGGCAGCCTAGTGAGAGATGATGAGGAATAGACTGAAGTGCTCAATGCCTTTTTTATAACCTCAGTCTTCACAGGCAAGGTCAGCTCCCAGACTACGGCACCTGGCAGCACAGTCTGGGGAGGAGGTGAGCAGCCCTCAGTGGTGAAAGAACAGGTTAGGGATTGTTTAGAAAAGTTGGATGTGTACAAGTCCATGAGGCCAGATGGGACGCACCCAAGGGTGCTGAAGGAGTTGGCTGATGTGATTGCAGAGTCACTGGCCATCATCATTGAAAACTTGTGGTGATTGGGGGAGGTCCTGAACGATTGGAAAAAGGCAAATATAGTGCCCATCTTTAAAAAAGGGAAGAAGGAGGATCCCGGGAACTACAAACCAGTCAGCCTCACCTCAATCTCCAGAAAAATCATGGAGCAGGTCCTCAAGAAATCCATTTCTAAGCACTTGGAGGAGAAGAAGATGATTAGAAACAGTCAGCACTGAGTCACCAAGGGCAAGTCAGGCCTGACCAACCTGAATGCCTTCTATAATGAGAAAACTGGCTCTGTGGATGTGGGGAAAGCAAGTGCATAAAGCTAGAGGACATAAGAAAATTTGAATTCAGCAAGGGTTTTGATACCATCTCCCACAGCATTCTTGCAAGCAAGCTGAGGGAAGTATGGGTTGGATGAATGGACTGTGAGGTGGATAGAAACCTGGCTGAACTGTCAGGCTCCACAAGTAGTAATGAATGGCTCAAACTCTAGCTGGCAGCCAGTATCTAGTGAAGTGCTGCAGGGGTTGTGTCCTGGGGCCGGTTTTATTCAACATCTTCATTCATGATCTGGAAGATGACATAGAGGGCACCCTCAGCAAGTTCGTGGATGACAACAAGCTGGGGAGCGTAGTAGATATGGGTAGGAGGGTAGCGCTAGGATTAAGTGTGACCTAGACAAATTGGAGGATTGGGCCAAAAGAAATCTCATGAGGTTCAAGAAAGACAAGTGCAAAGTCCTGCACTTTGGGCAGAACACCATGCACCGGTGCAGCCTGGGGGCTGACTGGCTGGGCAGCAGCTCTGCAGAAAAGGACCTGGGGGTGACGGCAGACAGTAAGGTGAATATGAGCCAACAGCGTGTCCTTGTTGCCAAGAAGGCTAATGGCATCCTGGGCTGCGTTAATAGGAGTGTTGCCATCGGGTCAATGGAAGAGATTATTCCCCTCTATTCAGCACTGGTGAGGCCACATCTGGAGTGCTGTGTTCAGTTTTGGGCCCCCCACTACAGAAAGGATGCGGACAAATTGGAGAGAAGCAAAAAGCGTTAGGGGGCTGGGGCACGTGACTTATGAGAGAGGCTGAGGGACCTGGGCTTATTTGGTTCAGAGATAAGAAGACAGAGAGGGGATTTACTAGCAGCCTTCAACTCCCTGAAGGGTGGATCCAAAGAGGATGGAGCTGGACTGTTCTCCGTGGTGGCAGATGACAGAACAAGGAGCCATGGTCTCGAGTTTCAGCAAGGGACGTTTAGGTTAGATACAAGGAAAAACTCTCATGAGGAAGGCGGTGAAGCACTGGAACGAGTTACCCAGAGCGGTGGTGGGATCTCCGTTCTTGGAGCTTTTTAGGGCCCGGCTTGACAAAGTTTTGGCTGGGATGATCTAGATGGGGATGGGCCTGCTCTGTGCAGGGGGTTGGACGAGATGTGACCTCCTGGGGTCCCGCCCCACCCTCCTTTTCTGCGTCTCTTGCGAACAAAAGGGTGCACGAATCAGTCTCACTATATTAGGTGGGGGGATTTGGTAGCCGAGGGGAGCTGGGCTCGGGGGGAGACCAGGTGCCTCCTTCCCTCGCAGAAGCGAGTCTCGGGGCACAGCGCCCGGGCAGGGGCAGGGGCAGGGCAGTGACCCGGGACAGCGGAGGTGCCGGTGGGTCATGGGCTGGGCGCGGGGCCCTGCGCGGCGGCGGGGAGCTCCCGCCAGCACCCG